CTTGATGGACCATTATTAGAATTGTTGGTGGTCGATATTTAGTGCAGTCACACAGATAATTATTGGGCATTATTGGTGGTCGATATTCAGTGCAGTCAGACTCAATAGGTCTGTTTGATACGTACATAATGATGGGAGAAGACCCTTCCATCATATTGGCAATGTCGTTATCATCATCAATATGTATTATATTATTGTTACTTGATAACCCTAGGTCAATATACTTAATAGTCATGGTACTTGGGGCATAATTTGATACTTTTGACAAGTGATCATTGACTTCTTCAAATGATGGGATCCCCTTAAAAAATATAACCTTTACGTCCCCACCGTCATAGAAAATACTTCCATCATTAGGTTTCCTCTTGAAAAAACCACCAAAGTGTAAAATGATTTTCACTATGTTCTCACCCATTATTGTTGCGTACAAGCTGAATCACTGCATATAAATTTCAGATGGAAACATATATAAAATACTTATAAGAAGTTCAAAATACTTACAAATAATGAGGAGGTTGCATGAGAGACATTAGATTGTAATACAAATGCCATAATATAAAAAAAATTACAATGGCCAACCCAACTACATCAAGTATTATAGAAAAACATTATTTTGATGGCCAACCATTAAATAAATCTAAAACTCATTTATGCAACGATATAAATAAATATAAAACTTATCTATGCAATATGTTAGTCAAATCATATCAAGTACTATAGAAAAACAACATAATATTTTTTTTAGATGCTAAAAACAACATAATATTTTGATGACATGCCTATAAATCAATATTGGTGTATTGATCTAAGAGACCTCGTTCAAAGATTGAAAAACAATAGATGATATGATAGAAAATAGATTAGAGAGATAGTAAATGGATGAGAGAGATAAAAAATGGATGAAAGTGCTAAACAAATCGTCAAAATAGGGTTTTATGAAAAGTTTGGTAAAAAAAAAAAGCAAGAAATAATTTGCGGTAATTTTATTGCCGTATAATTTGTGGAAGACGTTACGTTACTTTGGGTACTATAATTTCATATTAATACATTACGATAATTAAATTACCGTATAATTTGTTGAAGACATTACGGTACTTTGGGTACTGTAATTTCATATTAATACATTACGATAATTAAATTACCGTATAAAATATCATAAGAATTACGATATATAAAGTACCGTATGGACTTTTCTACACATTATGGTATTTAAATTGCCATAATATTCTTTACGGTAAAAAGACTACCGTGAAAGGTATTTTCGTCAAACAAAGCCACAAATTGGGAAAAATGGTATAGGAGAGGTTTTGAAAAGTTTGGGTTTTTTTTTTTTTCCTATTTTATTAAAATATAGGTATATTAGCATTGATTTCCCCACTTTCTCTGCAACTTACCTCCAACCTAATTTTTTCTCTGACTTTTTTCTCCAAAATATACTTTCTATGCAAATACCCTCTCAACCAATAAATAAATAAATAAATACCTAAACTACCCTCCTTTACTTTCACCTTACCCACGCCTCTTCCTCCTCTATCCCATCAAAATAGAGCTCTGGCACTGTGTAAGTACGGTCTGGAAGTAGAATACTCTGGAGTCACATGGCTCGACACTGTGTAAGTGCGGTTCGACAATAGAACAATCTGGAGTCACAGGGATCCGGCATTGTGTAAGTGCGGTTCGACAATAGAACAATCTGGAGTCACAGGGATCCGGCACTGTGTAAGTGCGGTCCGGTAGTAAAACTTCTAGAGTCACAGGGCTTCGGCAATTGCAAAGGGCAATCCGACAGTAGACACTTCTGGAGTTACAGGGATCAGGCATTGTGTAAGTGTGGTTTGGCAGTAAAAATTATGGAGTTATGACGATCCAACAGTTGCAAAGGGCGGTCCAACAATATATGATATTGGATTTCAAGGCTCCGACACTATATAAAGGGTGATCTGAAGTACTCAGTTTTGTTCCGGTAGTTGTCTTAGGGCGGTCCGGCACTTAAGTATTTGAAATAATGGGTCCGACAATGCGATGGTGCACTCCAACAATGTGCTATTGGGTTCGAAAGTCAACGTCAAATCTGGCCAAAATAAATTTTGTGCACAGGCATTTCTGTATAAAAAATGAATTTTTTCCCTTAGGGGGCATTTGCATAGAAAGTTTGTTTTGGGGAGAAAAGTGAGAGAAAAAGTTAGGTTGGGGTAAGTTGTATAGAACGTGTGGTCTTCGGTTTTTTTTTGTTAAAAAAAACCATTTCCTTTTTTTATGTGGCCAAAGACAGTAGAAGGAAAAAAAGGGACAAGGGTAAAAAGGGGAAACATTAACAGAGAACGAAAAAATATAAAATAAGGAAAAATTACGGTGACCGGAAATTTGCATTCATTTCATGGTATTCCCGCCCTCGTGTAGTATTTTTATACGCCTAAAAATGCGTTTGAAATTTTGGTTCTACCTCTGCCTCGTCCTGGCCCTCTTCCATTTGCTCTATGAAAAAGTATACAAAAAGATCATTTATTATAAGCTTTTATACAATGAGATACTCTGGGTGTGATTTCATTTTAATCAATCCAATTGAGGTGCACCTCCAAATTTTATCATAATATATAATTTTGATATAATTTTTTTTAGGATTATCTGAAAGTCTACTTTTATCTCTAATTATAAAATTTTAAACTCAAAAAATAGTTAAAATTAAGTAGATCTAAACATGTGAAAATATTGAAAATGGATGGTCTAGATAATGTGTCACAAGATGCACTATTATGAGACTCAAAATCCTTTTTTTTTAAAAAAATAAAATAAAATAAAATTAAAATAACCATTTCCGATGGATTTTTGAGGTGCATTTTTAGTTCTACATTTCAAGGTTGCAACCTTATATGAACTTTTTTCATTTACTTTTAGTTTAATAAGGTCACAATTATTCACAATGGTCAGATGTAAAATCTGACTACTTGGATATGTCATAAAGTTCAAGAAAATTTCTTTTGAACTTTGAATTTAGTTAATATAATAAATGATCCAATTTTACATCTAGTAGTTAATTGTGACTACCTTGTACCAAAGATAAATTGTCTTATTGTATATTTTTTTATTTAGTATTAGTGTACGAAGGTCGCAATTACTCTTATCCATTGGATTTCAAATCTAGTGATTGTCAAAGTGTTACTTACCAAACTCAAAGTTCAAAATAAAAATTCTTCAACTTTGTGATATACTCCAAGCCATCCAATTTGACATCTAATAGCTACAAGTAATTATAACCCATTTGTAATTAAGATAAATAGTCTAGGGAAAGGTTTCTATACTTCCCCAAAACATATAAGATATATACTTCCTCCTATCCAGCCATCCAATTAAGAACAAGTGAGCCACTAACTGGTTGATCTAGATCTAATACTTCATAGTATGTTATTTTTAGTTTTTTTCTACAAATAGTATGGATATGAAATTTGGTATGTGTCATCTTATTAATGGGGCATACCTAAAAAATATTAAAAATAAGTTTTCAATAAAATATAATAACCAAAATACCCCTTGAAACCTTTAGGGGTATTTCGATTTTTTTATTTTATTGTTTTTATAATTTTTACCAGTGCGATTTAAGAGATCCAAAATTTGAGTCAAAATATTTTGTAGAAAAAATAAAAATAAAATCGTGTAGAGATGGGACATTGTGATTGGGGCTATCTCAGCCGTCCATCAGGAGAATCATAGAAAGCTTGCCCAATAATCTTATATTATAAGATCCCTTATTTTATATACCCAAAATTAAGATAAATATAGTTTTTTAACCTTCCTTTTCTATCTCTTCCCTTCTAATTAAAAGCAACCCCTCCTGCTCATATGATCACCCATCCCTCCACGAGCGAACTCCCTTCTTTCGTTGGATTTCTCTCTCTATTTTCCATTCTCTATCTCACCATTATCACTTCCCCTCTCTTTGTATCTCTCTCAAACACATACTCTTTCTCTCACACATTGACCCATTGTACTTATTACACCAAAAAATCCCTCTCTAACTAGGTTAATGGGATTACATGTGTTGTATGTAGAAGGGTAGACACCTCCCCTAAATTTGATTTTATCTTTGAACTCTAAATATTGGAGTATACTATCCTAGTGCATCATAGAGCACACTGAACTATAGTCTATACTTAGAAAGGAGCTAGAGAGAGCAACCAAAAAGCTTCTTTGGGTACAAAGAAATAGAGAAACCATTGGTTCATCATCATTGAAAAATAAAAAATAAAGTCAAACAAAATAAAAGGGAAATAACCTGCTCTTCCAATGGCTTGGAGAGAAATCATAGGGAGACAAGTAGAGTAATAATAGAGAGAGAGAGTTTTGAAATAAAATGATGATATAAATAAGAGGGAGAGAGTGGGTGAGATATTTTAGAAATAGAAAGAACTAGAGAGTTCGTTAGAGGAGGAGAGAGAAAGAGAGAGATTTTAGAAAAGATGGTGAGATATGTTAGGAAAGATGGTGATAGAAAAATTATAAACAGTAAAACCGTGAGAGAGATTTTAGGAAAATGTTCGGTAGAAAGAGATTTTAAGAAAGAGGTGTGTAAGAAATAGAATAATCGTAAAAAAAAGGCGAGCGGGAAAAGGGTGGAGAAAAAATCCCATATAAGTAAGAAGAGATCCAAAATATTATGCTTGAAGTGAGAGCGAGGGAAAATTAGTGGACAGAGAGGGAGAGAAATTATGCGTGGAGAGAGAGTTATAGGGAGAAGACAATTTTGAAAAAACAAAAAAACACGTGGTGAAAGAATAAACTAGATAAGTTGTTTTGAATAAAATAGCATATTAAATCGTAATTTTCTCTCTCTATATTTAGGAGAGGCAAACGTGGCTTTACCATTTCCCTAAATTTTAACTGCATTGTCGTTACGTGGTCCGCTTTACTCGTATCCATGGTAAAAGTAAACTAGCTGCCCTATATAATACCTTTTTTGCCCTTTTTACGTAACAAATTTTATCGTGGTTATTAGGTCCTCTCTTGTCATTTAGCCGGCTGCCCCCGATCAAAGTTGATTGCGTGAGACCAAAGGCAGGTTTTGGGTGACAAAGGCGGTTTTTCGTGGGGTCTAAGACGGTTTCCGTTCTCTTTGATCACCAGGTAAACCAGATTTTTTATTTTAGTTTTTTTGGTGGTTTGGAAAATAAATCGTCTCTTGAAATTCTCAAATGCTATTCTTTTTTCTTTATATATATATATATTTGCGTCCTTGGTTTATAGTGCTGTTGAGAAGAATAATTGAGAAGTTTCTTGTCGGAATCGCCAAATCGGAGTTTTGAACCTGAATCACGACCTTGGCAGAGAGATTCCGGTAACTATAATTCGATCAATCCCAACATTACCACAACTATTCCCATTTATTTTAAATTTGATCAAGATTTAGAGATTTTGTTCACTTGATTTGGAAGTATTCTTCTCTTGTTTGAAACTTAATCAATCATTTATGATAGCGAATTGCCATTGAATGTACACAAATCTATCCAGAAATTATGCTAGAAGTCCATAAATGAATGATTTACAAGCGTGAAAAAAAAGTCTTACACAGATGTAAACTTGAAGCTACAGCGAAAAGAAAATATTGCCTTTTATTCATTTTTTTTCTTTTAAAAAATGATAAGTACTAGATTTACTAATTTTATCGGATTTTGTGTCCTATGTGCTCTGGCCCATTTTTGCATTGGCCATAAGAAAAACATAATTAGTTAGCGTTGTCCCTAATTTTAACATTGACCACGTTAGTTTCTATAGAAAATTGCTTTATTTGAATAATGAATCTATTGTTTAAAATAGCCATCCATATTATGGCAAGAGGAAAATCTATGAATAAATTATTACCGAATAATGGGTCTGGGACCTCTATTATTTTCGATATTTGTTATAAATTGTTTGGAATAAATTTGGGCCTTTTTATTGTCTAGAGAATTAATGGATAAGCATTATGAAATCACTGTCAGTCTACAAACTTATCATATCTAACTGGGATGGACCCAAGTTTTTTGGAAAAAAATTATCAACAATTACATTATTCATTGATTTGAATAAATTTTTTTTTGAGGGACAAACAAAAAATATACAAAAATACTATTTACTTTTAGTACGAGGAGATCACAATCACTCTTGTACATCAAATTTGAAATCAGGTGGTGCGCAAGTGTTATTGAGTAAGATTAAAGTTTAAAAAAAATTTCTCAAATTTTATGACACACCTCAAGCTGTCCAAAATTTAAATTTGGATAGCTAAAAATATTTGTGACTTCTTATACTAAAAATAAATGGTCTCATAGAGTACAAACCATATAACACAAGAGAAAGTATAGAATGAAACCATTTACATGTGATATAAAATGGTCACATTAATATTGACCATTAGATGTACAATTGGGTGGCTACAATTTATTAAATGGTCACATTAATATTGACCATTGGATGTACAATTGGGTGGCTATAATTATTCAATTGATCAAACTAAAACTTCCAAAAAAAAATTATCAATTTTGTAATAAATTCAAGCTATCAAATTTCATATCAAATAATTGTAAGAGATTGTGACCTTTATATGAAAGGTAAATAGTCTCACTTCATGCAATCCCATAAAAACAATACAAATTACTGAAGTTGAATGCTGATGCTCAGGACTAACTCAGTCATTTTGGAGATTGAAAAGCATCCATGCAGTCATTTTCCCTTCGATTTAACCGCAAGCGTCTTGACTTTAACCACGGGCTCAGTCCAACCGCACACGTCTTGACTTAAAAATTGCAAAGCGTTTTAGTGCTCCCACGGAACATAATGTCTGTTACTACCTCTGCTACAACCCTCTAGGAACTCATCCTCTGGGAGTCGGTTGAAAACTTAAAATACACTTTTAAGTTATCATTTTAGTTATGTGCCTTAATCAAAATGCATAATTTTGGGTTGGAATATTAGAAAAAGAATAAATATCAAATAATTGAATAGTAATATGTATTTTGATAAATCTTTCTACACATTTGGTATGTGTGAAAATATTTTTGTAAAAGTATTTTTATATGAAAAAACTCATTTATGTGATTAGGTGTGAGAATTTTTTACACAAATTGGACTAAAACATTTTTTTCACATTAACTGGCAGCTAATTGGTGTAAAATAAACTCCAACACCTAATCACCTTGAGAGTTTTTTTCATGTTGGAAAATACTTTTACTAAAATATTTTTACGTATACCAAATGGATCAATAAACCTCGAAAAAGATAATGTTCAGCAATTGAATACTGTTCCGCAATTGAATAATACTTTTAGTATTTATAGAAGAGAAATTTAGATGTTGAAATACTTAAAATTCACTTATTTAAAAATTAATCATAAGATTGCTCTTAGGTGGACGAGGGAGTAAGATTACAGAAGACTCCCGCTGTAGCATAGAAGATGCCCAAATTAAAAGTCCTCCCATGCCCACAAATAAAGAAAAGAATATCGAGAGAGAGAGAGGGAGAGATGATTTCAAACAGTGATCCACCAATTATCAAAGCCTCCATTTTTCGTGGAATTCTTCTGAATTTTTTTTCGCAGATTTGAATTATTTCAAAGGATCCTAAGGGGTGTGGCGATGGAGACCAAGAAACCGGCCTCCCCGAGGGCCCCACCGATGCCGGAAAAGTTTATCCGGCATGCGGAATGCTGTAGATTCGACCGGGTTCAGGCCAGGGGCTGCTGCATTGTGCCGGTAGCAACGAGGGACGCTTGGGACAGGCTCTTCAGTGAGGGGTACAGAGCGGATGTTTGCGTCTTCACTGATGGGGGCGGACTCATACCCGCTCACTACACTGTACTTGTGAGTTGCCTTCATAGATTTTGCTTCAATTGGATTTTAGAGAGAGAAAGAGAGAGTAAATGATAATAATTAGTGTTATTCAATGTTTTCCTTCTCTAAGAGAATTGGTGAGAGAGAGGTTTATGGGTTTGTTACGGTGTTTGACTGCTCGGGCGAGCCAGCTCGGACCCACCTTAATGAGCCTGAGTAGGTCTTTGGTTGTCTAACTTGTAGATATTTTCAAAAAAAATAAAAATAAAAAAAAATGAATTTATTAGTATATGTTTTTGTTTTTATATATTTCTATCATTTTGGTAAAGATTGGAAAACATTTTGATCACGGATACTTATTTCTTACATTTTTTTTGTTATTTTTGGATTATTTCTAAAAATACATTTTCGCTTTTTAACTGCTTTTTTAACCAAATTTAAATGTGTCTTGTTTAATTTTAATTTAAAGATATTTTTCTAATTTTTTTAACACTTTTTGGTATTGGCCAAAACTCGGCCCAACTCAAGCCGATTTACGGGGACTGACCAAGTACTTGGCTTGGGCCTAGGGCTTAGGCCCTAGGCTAAGCACCCGGCCCGAGTCACTCTTTCCAATGCATGTTTGTTCCAGAATTTGAGATTTTTTTTTTAGATAATTCAGCAGTAGGAGTTGAACTTGGCCATAACATTACTAAAGTCAACAACTAATCACTCAAGTCTTAGCCCAATTCCTTGTTTAATAATTTGAGTGTTTTTAATTTTGGTATTGGGAGCAGGGTATGGCTTCCCAGTTTCCAATGCATGTTTGTTCCAGAATTTGAGATTTTTTTTTTAGATAATTCAGCAGTAGGAGTTGAACTTGGCCATAACATTGCTAAAGTCAACAACTAATCACTCAAGTCTTAGCCCAATTCCTTGTTTAATAATTTGAGTGTTTTTAATTTTGGTATTGGGAGCAGGGTATGGCTTCCCAGGTGTTAAAAAACATGGTAAAGCTGTCGAGATCGAGGGGACGGCGACGATCAATCTCCATCCGTGGGGTGCCTCATCAGGCCGTCCACACCTTCCTCCGTTTCCTATACTCTTCTTGGTAACTTCTCACTCTAGAATCCCATCAAACAACCCTCTTTCTCTCACCAGCTTTTTCTCTCTCATTACTCAGGTAGGAAAAAGCTTATATAGAGTTGAGGCATTTGGATTGTTTAGAGCTTTAGAAAAAAGAACAAAAAAAAACAGAAGAAAGTCTTAGGAGAACTTTTGGTCCACCCATGGGCTTACCAGAACAGTATGTTCCCATTTTTCCGGATAGCTAGGGCACCTGTTTTGCCTTCTATTGGGTGCTCGTATCGTGAAAAGGAAATTTATTTGGGGAAATGGTTTTGAAATGTTGGAATCAGCGTTTTAAAAATCGCCGAGTCGAACCGGACTCGCCCGGTTCGACTCGGAATTCACGAAAAAGGGCCGGATCGGTTCAAAAACCGGGAATCGTCCGGTTCTGAGAGAACCGGACGATTCCGCACAGTGACTCGCCGATTCACTGTGCGGAATCGGCGAGTCCGT